CTCTCTCTCTCTCTCTCTCTCTCTCTCTCTCCATCTCCTTCCTTCATGCCTCTCTTTCCTCCGTCTCTTCTCCTTGGAGAACTCGTCCATGGTCAGACGTGACACTTGTTGGCCCCCCCGGGCGAAGCGCTGAACTTAATTAGCGAGGACAAAGAGTGCGAGAAGGGAACTTAGTTTCGGAGTCTGAGGCCGAGAGCGGGAGTCAAAGTTGGTTAGCTGGAGGAGGAGGAGGAGGAGGAGGAGGAGGAGTAAGAGAGTGTAGGAGCAGCAGTGGAGTTGTTGTGAAGTTTAGAGCCGATGAAGGTCGATTCCACGCCGGGCAGCATGAGGTTGCCCTCACGGAGGTAAATACCGACAGACGCAGATTCGTGTTCCTAGCATCATTGTGTCCCTCGCGCTGGCGTCACGTTAGCATCGTCGTCTTCATCATCGCTTTCTTCGTCTTCGACGTCTTTGCGGTGGGCTCCTTCAGCGCCTCCGTCGTCAGGTGAAGTTGAGGAGTCAGAGAAAGTGTCAGGGAGAGGAATTTGGATCTAGAGAAATGTATCTTTTAATCGTTGGTTCAGTCTATAAATGCAACATTTTCCGCTTTACATTCTTGTTGTTTTTTTTAAAAAAAATCCTTTTTACCATGTTTTTCTCAGCAGTTCTATAGAAGTAGAGGATTTAGAGTAGAGGAGCAGGATTTTTTTTTTTTTTTTAGAACTCTTCTTGAAATAGCCGTTAGCATTGACTTTGGGAGTTTAGGAGCAGGACCTGAAGGCATCTCTCACCATCTTTGAACTCACCTTGGAGAACTTGGACTACCTTGGTTTGGGATCTGGACCCAGAACTGGATTCAAACCCTTCACTGTGTCTCGCACTTGAACTGTGGAGACTCAACTGTGACATTATTTAGCCTTAACTTACTGGCAAAAAAAAAAAAAAAAAATGGGAAAATTGTTAAAAAAAAAAAAAAAAAACACCTGGAAAATTGTTAGAAATTTAAACGGTTGTAACACAGTTTAGTGAAGTTAAAGTTATTCCGGGAAAAAATAGTCTTGTGCGGATTATTTTACCACAGCAGCTACAGTGGTTTTGGTTCATTTTACTCACAGCCTTAAACCAGTCAAATATTTTAAAATTTTTATAAAGCATAATTTCATTAAATAACAAAAAAAAAAAAAAAATACTAACCATAATTTAAAAGTTTGATTAAAAATATAAAAAAAATGTATTTTTACTGTTTAAAATAAACGTCAGCAACAACAGTTGAAGGGAAATGGTCAAAGGTGGAAATTAAAGGAACATTTCCAATCAATTCAAATGTAAAACCAGCTCCTGCTGTTTTATATATTTACATCTACTATTCTTGACAATATATAGAACAAACATAGTGGTTTAGTTGGATGAAGGTGAGTGTGTGAGTGAGTGAGTGTGTGTGAGTGTGTTCATTATTTCCAATTGTATTTCATTTTCGCACCTATACGAGCCAAGTGATCACATGATCCTGTCGATCACAGCTTGATCTTCTCTCTCTCTCTCTCTCCCTCTCTCTCTCTCTCTCTCTGTCTGTCTTTCTTTCTCTCCTATTCTCTGTCTATGTCTCTCGTCCAGTCCATATTGGGAGGTGGGGGTGAGCTTGGTTTGGGGAGCCCCGGTGCGGCTTCGCCCACAAAGTCGGCCGCTCAGTATTATCAACACTACGGCTCCAACCCACGAAGGAGAACGCTGCCTATGGACACCATGGGTGAGACACACAAACACACACACACACACACTCCCCACTGTTGTCTTCGCCAGTGTCTGTTTAGTCGTGTGTTTATCCATGAGACTAAACGTCAGACCAGTGTCTCTGACATATCTGTCTGTAGGAGACGAATGAAAGGAAATGAATGGAGCTGAATGTTTTTGTTATTGTCTGTGTCCGAGCCATTTTAAATACCCATAATCCAATCCGGCCAGGTCACATGACATGTCACATTCATTCATAGTGTCTTTGAGTATAAAACTAAATAAATAAAATGCATTATTATTATTATTGTTACTATTATTATTGTTGTTGTTGTTATTATTATTATTATTTAGTTTCAACACTTTGATTCAAATTCTTTAGGCTGTTTCTCCTCCTTTTTTCCTCTGGAGTAACTGTTTAAAAACTCAGATCAGTCCATCAGTCGTGGTGTGTCTTCTGTCCTTTGTTTGTTGATTTTTTTTTTTT